GTTGTTCTGGTGATACAGCACTGTGCCGATCCATCCAAGACCTATTTTGTGCTCCGGTCCCCAACGACTATATAAAGGGAAAGTCGCTTCATGAGAGAAATCTGGGACGGCTACTTGCCGCTCATTATAGATTTCTCATCTTATACGAGCTCGAGAGCACAATATACACCAAACATTTCTTAAAATCAGATGTCCATTGATGCTATTATTTAGAGATTCTGTTTACCTATCAGAATATAGTAGAAGAATATACAAACCTTAACTATAAAACCAAACAGATATTTTAAAAGAAACTTATTGAAAAATTATTGATTAATTACAAGCCTGGAAAAAAGGCACCTTTCAGACACTGTCTGACAGACATTCAGGCTTTGTCAGGCACAACCGTCTGATGATTTATCTCTTTTCTGTGTTATTGATATTATTAAAACGTGTCTGACACAAAGTTCAAAATGTAAGGGACAAGTTCAGTAGTGTCTGATATTTTGTCAGAGACAACTAAACCTATTATTTTCAGGCCTGATTAATAAAAAAAAAAATCATCCATCAAAAAATTTCATGTGATATATAGGTCTTTGTTAAATATGCCTTCCCACATACAAACCATGTGTTTTGTTGATATATTTGAACTAAAAACATATTCAACCTAATTTGTCTATCAAAAGTTTGCTTTGGATTGATCTCAAAACATTTTATTTGGAAGCAAACTAATCTATTTTTATCATCCATGTTTATCATGTGACTTGATTGAGGGAGAGCCATTATGAGCTTGTATTTGTCGTTAGTTGCTTTCCATCTACCATCAATATCGAAGCCTAATTAAATTCCTGGATTAGCCTGTGCGAACTTCTTTTTGTGCCGTTTAATAGCCAAGTCTACTGCACATTTAGTTATCTCAGTTTTCTCATAACCATTTGCCATTAGATCAACACATAAGAAGCCCTCATTACTTCACTTAAACAGACAGCTAAACTGACAGTCAATCGTTTGGGGAGGAAACCCATACATTTTTGTCTTATGCAGTCCCCATGGGTGTTTTTCAGGAAATCCAGAATTTGTTTTAATACGACTGGGTATCTACTTCCCATACCAAAATTGTTATACTTTTATTAGAAATAACTACCAGACAAATACTTTTGTGGAAATGTACCTTTAAATAAATCGATACTACTGTTACTTTCAGACATGCATTGACATCTCAACCAATTAGATATAAAAAAAAATTCTAGCTTCATTTCAGATGAAGTGCAGCCATGTTGAAAGATTTTGTGATGCGTTTGATTGTAATGACTTGAATTCCAATTTCCTCATGATATATTGCATTGAAGGGAATACTTTATAGGAACCAAAAAGACAGCAAATATTGGAAAAAGATTGATTTGACTTGATCTAATATACAGAATGGAGTCTTTAGTATAAAACTCACTTAAGGAGGCATTAACACATTACAGATTTCTGATGGTTGGTAAAAAGTTATCTTATTTTCAGGATTTGCCACGTTTAAATTAGATAGCATGTAAAATATAAAACTTATCTGCCACGCAAGTCATTGCTGATTTATACATATTTTATTATAAATATTTCAGTGTTTAAGAGTATAAAGGACACTTGTGAAATACATCTTACTCTTAAAATGTCAGTGCTTTTGATATTTATGTGCGTCTAACGTTATTTTGAATATGACAAAATGAAATGGGTTTTAACAGTCTACTTTACTGCACCAATTGAGCTAATGAAGACGAGTATACAACATGCAGTGTTCTACGGGGGGAATTTTGTCCGAGCACTGGCATTTCTGCCTACTCTGCATCAATTAACAACTGCCAAGGGTTCTTTTATGTGCATGGATGATTTTTTGTCTGATCCAAACAACATAATCGAATCCCAGACCCCCAGGTTAGCAAGCTAGTACCTTACTCACTGAGCCACAGCGGCTCTAATATGTGAGTTGAGTTGAGTATTTCTAAAAACCAATCCAATTTATTTCATGGTGGGAGTGCCGCTTTAAAATAGAGTACCTCCTTTTCATTTCTCATAATAGGAATTAAATCATATATAATCCTCTGTTACATTCCCATTTAAATGATTTATTACATTCAGAAGGGAAGCAATAAACTGAAACCATTGAAGTTATGCAAGAAATTATTCAGATACAAACGAAGAAATACATTTTCAAATCAATATGTGTCATCATCCATTTCATATATCTGAATCATTTTTCTAGTACCGGTAATGGAAAATGAACACTAAATATTTTCAAATATAAATTGTATTATACTGCCAAGATAATTTAAACAGTAGCAACTGGCAGATAAATTCTATCTTAGAATTCAGAGGACTGTTATTGTTCATTTGATGCTGCTTAAATCATAAGGGGCAGTGATCGAGAGCCACTAATGGAAAACAATTGTTAGACCAGTCAACTATAATATATATACTTGTGAAAAACAGCTACCAGTTTTAAGTCCCCTGTCCAATCAGCAGCAATCACCTTATAGAGTACATGTCCTTATTGTTGTGTATACATGTAGTTTCATGATTTGTTATTATAATCTTTAGGATAACACTCTTTGAAACCTCACCCAAATAAATGAGTACCAGTATCTGTTTTCATTAAGTATGATTTATTAATACTAGTAACAGGTCTCGACTAAATACATGTAGCCACTTTTAGCTATGTTTGTGCATAGAGGTTTATTTTACCATTTATAGTAAATACATCAAATTTACTTTAATAAAATGCTTCATTTATTTCTTAGAATACCTCCAGAAATAGCTTCAGAATTTTATCAGTAGGGAATAAAAAGTTAGTTATCTCTGGTTCGTTAAATATCCCTCTCAGTGATTGTAGAGACCAGGCTACATGTATATTCACAGCGTGCGAATCAGTTTGACCCAGTGCCTGTGTGGTGACTTAATCAATTTTATAGTTTATTAACGGTACAGTTTATGAACTCATCCAGATTTTTTTATTAAAAGAAGGGTAGAATCAATAATATATTAATAAAGAATTTTATCCCTGTATAAGTTAGTAGTTTTATTTCTGTATATCGTAATTTCAGTAAATGAGATCAGAGAAATCCATTAATAGAACTTACTGAGACTACATACTTGAGATTAAAATATTAGAGAGAGAAAAATGGGGTTTAACATCCATTCGACACAAACTAGGTCCTTTCGGGACTAACATATGGTTAAATTTTATTTCAATAATGCGCTTGTGCGTTTGGGTCTTTAACAGTGGGAGGAAACCGGTTGACATGGGAAAAACCCATGAGGATGTACAGGCGACTCTCCTACCCCTCGTCATGTATTGAAACCATGCCACTTGACTCAATGACCGACAGACCTTATAATCAAAATGACACACCTTAAACCATTCGGCCACGGCCACCAAACCTCTGATTTATATAAAAAAAACATTCTGTCACATGTTAGATTTGAAATATTTAAATTACTACATGCTACACAGTACAGTTAAAACAGAATTTCAATATAAAACTTTCCCAAAAACAATGGGGTATTAATTTGTTTTTGCAAGACACCTTTTATAGACATTGTTAAGCACAATTTTTTTTCAGACCTAATGTCATTAGTTACTGTCATTTTGTCTATAACAGATTTGTCTTTTATCAGTGTTTTTAATGATCAGAAATGTCAGGTATTGGGTTCATTTGTGTTTAGATTGTGTGAGCCACACCAATTTTGTTTATGTAATCATTAACATTGGTTTTTGATGACAGATGAGTTTTTGTGCTGCAGTTTTATTTGTGGATCTTTTATATACATGTATACGCACCGAAAAACTAAACCTTGCATCACAAGGGATCTCCTATGCCTAGCCTATATGTAATGCTTGAATAAACCATTTAAGCAAAATTTAGACAAAATAGGAATTTCAAGAAATTTATTAAGGCTGGTCTATCCATATAATTGATCTCAAAACAAACTGCCTTTCTCTGATTCACCAAGGCATCCTAAATACATCCCTAGATATAAGGGATGATTGGTTTTTAATAAATTCTTCTAATAAACAAAGATATGTACCTTAGCTGATGACCTTGATAAGTTCAATAACAACAATTTACATTTTACATGTATATTAACAAAAAACATTGATTGATCAAACATGACCATAGTTCTTATACAAGTACGCATTCCAGAGGAAAAGCTGATCAAAGAACACATCATAAATGAACAAATAGTAGCCCAAAATAATGGTAATAAGTAAAGCGATAGATCAATAAAAATACCAACTGTCACATGCCTGGTTCTGGTTCTAGAACAAATATAAGTAATTTCAACCTGTGAGTCAATAGATATCATTAGTCAGTAACAGAATATTTAACTACATATTTACAATGTATTGTATTGATCACCTTTACAAACAATTACTCTAACATTTGCCTCAAACTAACAACAATTATTTATGACCCATTTATCAATTTCTGCAAGTCGATGGCTGATTTGTCTAAAGAATGACATATGTTTAAATCTGGCAGGCTTCCTGGTCCACCTCATGTTCATGCTCTTTGATATATTATAATAGACTCAATGTTCAAATATTGTTAACATTGGATGATTTTTTATTACAGAAATAAGCTGTTTGTCTCTTTTGAAAAAAAATAAGAGATCCTGCAGTTATTGCATTCTATTATTAAACCTTTCTACAATCTGTACCAAAATGGATAAGCCAGTGTACAAGATATTCAAGGTTGTTAGTCTGTGTAATAAATTCTATAAATCTTTTTGTTTGCCCTTTCTGTGGATGTGCCATAATTGACCTTTATGGTATTGTATTAAGGTATTGGTATATGTGGATGATAATGTGATAAAAGTGATAGTATATACTGTGTTTTACTTATCATCAACTCATCAAGGTAAACGTCTATATCATTACCTATCTGTATGTGACATTTATGACTAGCAAGATTATGATGTAATACCGTCAGCCGTGACCTTAAAGCATAGATATAGATACATGTATAAGAATTACTTACGTAGCATCAATAAAATAGATAATCAATGAGGCTATGCTGAGTAGAAATACCAAACCAACCTGAAAGGACAAGAAAAATAAAGTATGTATTAGGATTATTGGATTATATATTAGGTTTAAGTAAAACAGCTTTAATAACATACATAGATAGATATATAATAAAGTCTGGAAATAAAGAATTTATGAAAGACATTGTCAGGAACAATTGTTCTGGTGCTTATCATTTTATCCAGCACTGATTTGTATTTTTCTGTGTTTTCATTTTTCAAAATGTCAAGACTATAGTTCAGTAGTGCCTGTAATTTTGTCAGGTATAACTAGAAGCTTTTTTCTAGACCTGCATATAATTAATGATGGCATTATAGTCTTAAAGATGATAGTTTCTATATTCTGACATTAGAAGGGAGTCACGATAGCTAAGTGGGTAAGACGCTGGCTTGCTAGCCTGGAGGGCAGGTGTTCGATCCCTGCATTGGCCGAGAAAGTCCATCCCGATTTTCTGGCGTGGTTCCCCCCTTGTCAGTGATGCAGGACGGAAGGCCTTACTAGGACAGCTGTCTAGTCGTTCGGATGGGACGAAAAACCGAGGTTCCGTGTAAACATTGGCGTGAACGTAAAAGATCCCTTGACAGTTGGAATTCAATATAAGAGTAGGCCATAGTGCCGCTGTCCGAGCAAAATTTCCCTCATAGCACACTGTATGGCATATGCCCGTCTTCATTAGCCTAGTTCGGAGCAGAACAGTAGGACGTTAAACAGCATTTCAATTTCTGACAATAGATATTAAATTAATAATGACATCTACTCTTAAAGACAATATAATTAATAATGGCATCTACTTTTAAAGACAATAGATACATGTATATATATATATATATATAATTAATAATGACATCTAGTCTAATAGTGTCAAGATATTTCTTGCAGTCCCTGACCAAGATTAAGAAAGCTTTTCTGGGCCTTGTATGTGACCAGGAATATGGTTGTCTTCCAGTCCTGCATGTATGTCTTAAATCACCAATCTTACAACATATACATGTACTGCTGAATTGATATGAAATACTACACTACTTTGGAATGGTTTTATTCTAACACACAATTCATTAAGATAGGGAGTGAATGCTATAATTCAGTATGTACAGTTTGAGTTTGTCACCTTGCTATATTGGCCCAATTCATTCTGAATGTATCTAGATACAGAGAGAATGCACTTCAAAACGAGTAGGTCAATCTGCTGCATTGAATATCTCTAATGTATTGGCTGCCACATCTTTCTGCAATATAATACTCCATGGCTTCTTATCAGGTCCATAAGAAGAATATTCATTCGTTTAGACATAAAGAACCATATTAATATCACTCAGGGGAAATCTATGAGGGAAATCCATTTTCTTATGAATAGTTTTCTCTTATTATGTGTATGCAAGCCGTTAACTGTAGAAAGACTGCCAAAAACTGTATAGTTTGACAGGGGGATGCCAACTGTGTACAGTCTGCTTCTTGAATGAGGATCTAAATATGGTGGGAGGATCAGGAAAAATGTAAAACATATATCAGTGAGGGATTAATCATGTTTAATGGTATGTTTCGGTCTCATATTATAGACCCCTAATTAGAAACAGAAACCTTTTACAAAATAATTAATGACCAATTATTCACCAGTGAATACAAACTGGAGGTTCCTACTGTCATGGGTACTGTTACACAGAATGTTCATCATAAAACACAGTCCAGACCGTGACCTAATGGTTTGGAGTGTTCTACCTCAATTAGAAGCCGAGTTATTGTGTTTCAAAAAGGGTGATGGGCAGACATACACATAGACTGACGAACCAATTTTAAAAGTCCCCTGTTTTGTTTGAAATACACAATGAGGTTTATTCAATGAGATTTCTACATTCTAAGACATATTTCTTGTTGAATGAGCTGAAATATATGCACGGGACAGTGACAATAACTATTTGTAAAATCAGAGCTTGTCTTGCAATCCATCAGACATTCAAAGCACTAAAGTACTTGATTGAATACATTGTGGTTACTGGTGGCGCTTAATCTTATTTTACGCTTTCTTTAAAATTACAAAATGTACATGTAAGGAGAAAATGATCCATGCATTCCTGATTCCTATAGGAGAATTTATCTCTTATTTTCTGGACTGAAAGTTAGCAAATAATATCTTCCTAGACTGAAAGTTAGAAAGTTAGCAAATAATATCTTCCTGGACTGAAATAATATCTTTCTGGAATACATGTATTTGGAATGGAACAAAAGATAATTAGAATGATTAAATGATCAACATATTTTTCCAAAAAGAGTTGATCCCAAGATCGTTTTGACCCATAGACAGAAAAATATGGAAAACTATGCTGATTCTTGAAGTACTGAAGATGCCGAATATTAATAAAAAATGGCTGTGCTGTAAAATATTCCTTTTCTGTCCCAAAAATCAATGATTTCACAATCAGGAATCTTACAGGAATGTCAGGGTGTAATGCTAACGTCTTCATGAGTGATCCTCAGATTCAGGAAATGAATGTCGGAATAATATCAAAATAATTATCAATCATGTGGATTGTAATAGAATTTAGTCTGAGAATCTATAATGTACATTTGTACAACTCAGTCAGTCTTAGACACTGTTTGAGTGAATCAATTATAAGTTGGTCACATCATCAATGTATACCGTACATGTGTAATCTAAAAAACAAAGCCCATCTATGTAAAAAAAAAATTTGAAAGTAGTAAGTTGCTGTCAATGCAAAATTTCCCCCATCCCACTCTGTATTGTCAGTCTTCATTAGCTTGTCTGTTGCAGAAAAGTAGGATACCAAACACCATTTCATTTCAGTTCGTGATGAATGCCTTACCAAATTTCCAATATTCAATTTGGACTGGTGCTATTAAGACTCCATACTGAATTTACTGGAGATGGTCTATAGACAGATTAGAATGACCACTACAATAACTTCCAAGCAGTTGTCATCATTTATCTATCTTTCGTAAAATAAAAACACATGGATCTTTAAAGTCATTTGTACTTTCAGGGAAATATCTATTTTCCACGACTTAATCCATACTAAAGTGTACTCAAATTGAGTATTTAACATTTATTTAAGAAAACTAAAGATTTTAGTGAAGATTATAGGTGATGCTGGCTTGTTTTGACCACATCCTATTAATATCATCTACAGAGGATTCTGAATTTTTACAAAATTTAAATCATTGTAACTTAATACATTTAAATAATGAATGGATTGGAAATATTTATGGACTGACATTCCTATTAGAGATTCAACTTTCACATAATAGTTTATAGGGGATTAATAATCCCTAAAATGACGATCAGATAATTTAAAGGAGCTAAACCTCTAACTTAATATTATTCATAATATTCAAAATTAAAAATACGAATTTGAATTAAAAATTGGTCTATTTTGATCAATATTGATATTTTACCTTGAAAATGTGTGACCCTAATATCCAATATTTAAGAAACCATAACATTTTAAAATCAGTATACAACATTGTGTGAGCACCATTTGTATTAATGGAAGAAAGGAATACATATCACACAAGACAATGCAAAAGTAATAAAAAAATGGGTGATTCACAAATGACAAAATAATAATTAAAAAATGTACTAAGCAGGCGTAAACGAATGTCTTCAATTTGAACTGTTCACATATTTCCCAGAACATAAGTGATTAGAAGTTATAATAATATCTTTTAAAATTTATTGTAAATAACCTTATGTACACACATATTACATTAATATGTTCTTTCAGTCCCATTTTTACCTATTTTAAGGTTCCAAAGAATAGAGTTATACCACCTTCCAGGTGCCCTATCAATATCATCAGCCAATGTCTACTAGAGGACATTTTGGTACATGTATATATTCTTCAATACCTTTGGTTTAATATTTAGCTGATCCCACAAAATATGTAAAGTACATGCAGTTCAGGTAAACAAATAACACACTTTTATGGAATAACAATTACTATGGTTTATTTCACTGCGACGTTTCACAAGTCGTTATCAAGCATATACACAAATAGGTAAAAAATGAGAAATAGTTCATATAATAGTCAAAAGGAGCTACATGTAGAGGAATAATTTAGATGACCTTTCTGAATTTTTAATAACTACAGTCTATAATTAGAAGGAGGAAGACGTTTTGGTCTGAAGAATAGCTTACATGTATATAGATTAATTACATGTACATAGATTTTTTTTTCCTTTGGTTTTATCTATTCATGGCAGGAACGATGGGTGAAAAACAGTAGGTCGAGATACATGTGGTCGGGCCAGAAATCTTTACTTCAACTTCAGTTTTCTCAATTGCCAAATCAATAAGCATGTAAAATATTAATAACTCACAAGAAATCAACAATGTAGGCCTACTTACGTGTAAATGTACATGGTTTCAATGAATATAAATAAAATATAGGTTTGAGTATGTTTGAAATCTCAAAATCTCATTTGCATGAGGGGACCAAATAACTGTGGGTCTTTTAGAGAGTTATTTTTAGATTTTTACATATACCGTAACTAAAATGCCTGGAACTTTGTCAAAGATAGGTTGCCAGTTTTTATCTGAGCAGTCCATCAAGGTTGCTGCATTGTGAATTAAGAGGTAAAAAAAACCCTCAAATCTGCAGTACATGTATAACATTATTGGCACATTGATTCTAAGATATAATCAAGGACAATAACTCTTTCAGTAATTGTTGTAATTGTTATTCATCACAATACATGTAATTGAAACAAAGAGCATACATGTCATTTCAATATACATGTAGATGAAATGATGACGTTTGATGTTAAAATATTCACAAAATTGCAAAAAGTGAGCAATCGAGATATTACTCTAGAAATAAAAGAAGAGGCTGTCTGGATTCACTGATCTGAATAATACATAAAACTTCAAAGTTCAAAAACTTGGATGTTAACATTTGTCATAAACATATGAATAAAGTATGAACTATTCTTTTATTTCATGTTTTCATATTGATTTAACCTATAGCATATACAGTACAACAGTTTCAACTGGAAGAACT